GGGGGCGTGGTCAGGCTCAGCCCCGCTGACCTCTGATTGGCTGCCGGTGGCCCATTATGATAATGAGGAGGGCGTGTCCCGGGGCCGGAGCCGCTGCCTGCTCGGAGCCGCCTCATTGTGTCGTTTGGACCCGGACTGGACGCACCGCCGCCCCGCCTGCACGCCTGTGAGCGGCCGCTGTGTCTCGGTGGATTTATTCCCGGAGCTGTGGGAGCCGGAGGAGGATTTTGCTGCCGGTTTGTTGGAACTAAGCGGAGCGGTTGGATTTTAATGTGACGCTCGGGCTGGAGACGGAGCGGAGTCCGGCTGCCGGCGCTCCGCTGCTCCCGGAGATGTGCAGGAAGGAAGGTGAGTTTGTTCTGCTGCTTCTTCTTCTGCTGCCTGTTCCCTGCAGGAAACCGGGTGTGTGCGTGCGCGTGCGTGCGTGCATGTGTTTGCATCAGGATGCACAGGTCAGTGTGTGTGCGTGTGTGTGTGTGTGGTGTGTTAAAGTGTGTGCGTGTTTTGTGCGCGTCACGGGGTCTTGATTTGGGAGCGCGTGCACGTCTGGCAGGTTTAATTGGCGCCTGTCAATCATCCGTCATCGGGCGGCACGCGCGGCACAAGGTGCGCCGAGCAGCAGCGGAGACACACGAGCGTCTCCGAGCTTGATTAAGTCCAGTCACCTTCTTCCTGCCGTCAGGCTTCAACTTCAGCTCCCAGAGGCTCCGCTGCACCGAGTGTGTGCTGTGTGTGTGCGGTGTGTGCATGTGTGCGTGCGTGCGTGTGTGTGCTCCCAGTGCGCACAGAAAAAAACCTTCGCCGTGCAAATGTTGCGTTTGCGCACCCGGAGCGGATGTTTGGGTGGGTGTCTTTGTCTTGTGCACGCTTTAAGGGTTAACGTGAACAGATACAGTGTGTGTGTGTGTGTGTGTGTGTGCGTGTGTGTGCGTGTGTGTTGCACAGCAGCAGCGGTGGGATCTGACTCTGATCCAGAATTCCTCTTGTTCTGGTTCCAGTTCGGTAACAGCGCGCAGCGGGGAGCCGCATTATTCCCATGAATGATTCATATGCAGGTGACTTTCTCCAAACAGCGTCAGATTCTGTAAACCGGCGATCGGTTCCACCGGTTCTCATTATTGTGGCTCTTTGCTGTCGTGTTGTGATTATTGTGGGTCTGTGCTGTTGTGATTCGGAGTACTGAGGGTGTGTTTGGTTCTGAGGATGATACAGAAATAACGCTCACTGGACTTTATCTGACTTTTTCTTTTTTTTTTTAGGGTATAACTCCATCAGAAATGTGCTTCTAAAGACTTCACTCTTGCAGAAAAGTATCTGACATTTCACAGAGAAAACAATAATCAGCCAGTGTGCGGATCAATAGGTGATAAAAAGCGATTAAAAGCAGTGAAATGCCCCACAGCTCCTGTCTGTGCAGCTCATTTAGTCCCACCGACAGCTCAGAACCTTCAGATTCTCATGTCTGACAGAGAAAAGCATCAAATCTTCACGTTTCAGAAGCTTTAAACAGCAAATATTTGACATTTCCAACAGTAGTCAGTGATCAGGTCGCTGCCAGTCGACTCATCGTTTCAGCTTTTACTTCCCTAATTATAATATATCAGCAAAAAAACAACAGATTGTTCTTTATCACATCACATAAACTGATATTTTCGAGGGCTTTAACTGATGGTCTCTGTGGAAACGTACCTCTGTGTTCTGACATTTACAGCCGAACCATTAATCAGTTACTGTGCAGATCAATAGGTGATGAAAAAGCGATTGAAAACAGTGACAGACGTGCCGAGTCCCACAGCTCCTGGATCTTATTTTGTCCGACCAGCAGCTCAGAATCAACAGATTTTCACTTCATTGTAGCGTTTGACAGAGAAAAGCATCAAATCTTCACGTTTCAGAAGCTTCAAACAGCAAATGTTTGGCATTTTTGCTTAAAAAAAATGACAAACTGAGCAATAATCAATGATCAAAGTCGCTGCTAATTGACTGATTGTTGCAGCTTTTGCTCCGTTAATCTTTGATATGACATTTCAATAAAAATGACAAAGAAAAGCATCAAATCTTCACGTTTCAGAAGCTTCACACGGCAAAGTTTTGCTTAAAAAGGAATAATCGATGATCAAACTCATTGCAGATCGACTGATTGTTTCAGCTTTTACTTTGTTAATCTTTAGTATTTTAATAGAAACTAGAGACTTTTCTTTGCCACATCTCACTGTAAACTGAGTATTTTGGGTTTTTGTTTAAAAAAATAACCTGACTTGAAGATTTCTAATTAATCAGCTCTGCAGAAATGTGTCACGAATTCCTGACGAAACGATGAATCAACTGCAGATCAATAAATGGATTCAAACAGTGAAAGATGTTCGTAGCAGCCAGATTTCCACTTTACTGTCATTTGTGACAAAGAATTGCAGAAAATCTTCACATTCCAGCAAATATTTTGCATTTTTTGCTTAAAAAACCCGACAAGCGGAGCAGTAATTAACCATCAAACGAGCTGCAGATGTCTTGATTCGACTCAAACCCAAAGAGATTCAGTTTGATGGCATTTAACAAAGAAAAACTGTCGCTTAAGAAGCAAATATTTTGCTCAATAAACAATAATTGATGATCAAATCAGAGCTTTTGCTTCTTTAATGTTTGATTTAATGGCCATAAAATGCACTTCTTTGTCACATTTCTCTGTAAACTGAGGATTTTGGGGAAACAGAAAAACGACTTTTGAGGATCTATCATTTATCATTCTGGATGTTGGCTCTATTTCTGGACTTTTTGCAGACAAAACAAAGAATCGGTGACTCTGCGGATCAATAGGTGATGAAAAACCAATAAAAACAGTGAAAGACGTTCAGCCGAGCTCCCGTCGGCAGCAGCTCGAGTCCCACAGATGCTCGATTTCGTCGTCGTTTGTGAAGAAGAAAGGCAGAAAATTTCACGTTTAGTCAGTATTGATATGCAATTACTGATCGTTTTCATATCGATCAACCTGCTGATTAGTCAGTTTTTCAACAAAATCGCAGTAAATAGTGAAAAATAGTTTTTAAGATGATGTCTGCAGATGTTTTGACAGATGTTCTGTCATTTAAACAAACAGAAGCGTCAAATATTCACATTTCTGAAGCTTCAAACGGCAAATGTTTTGTATTTCTGCTTTAAAAAAAATGCACACAACAATAATTGATGATCAAACTAGCTGCAGATTGATTGTTTCATACTTTGCGTCGTTGAGTAAGGTTAAATCTGGTGTGTTAGACGTCTCAGTGGGGAGTCTTCGTCTCCAGGATCAGGATTTATTTTTAACTTCTACCAATCAGTTGGTGCCATTTTGCTGCCGATCACTTCACTCTGATCTGATTGAAAGTTTATATTTTTATCAAATAATCATGAAAAGAAGCAAAAACAGCTGCATTTCTGCTGTTTTCATCCATTTCTTCACCCAGAGATGTAAATTCGCAGCCATTTTAACCATCAAATGCTTGTTTTTCAGCAAAATTCCCCCAAAATGTGCTCATCAGATGTTAATATTAGTTGTTTTTTTGGTCATAAGTGACAGTAAACTGAATCTCTTTGTGCCTTTTCATGCTAATTTAGACAGAAGCAGACACGTGGAGGCGACCTTTCAGTTAAATTGGTTGAAATTGTGATCGATAATGAAACTGTTTGTCGGTTTCGGCTCGGGAAGGCGTCATTTGTTTCGCAGGTGATGGGAATTTTTCCCCAGATTAACGCCGCCTTTCCTCTCTCGCCGCCTTGTTTGTGCGCCGCTGTGGAGATATTTAAGGCTTAAATAAACATGGAGACTTCCTCACAGGCAGGATGACGAGGCCTCTCTGACAGGTTTCTGCTGTAAATCCTCCTCTGGAGATAGGATCAGACTCCGGTCGGGGATTTAAGGGTAAAATCTGAGCGTAAACAGACCAAATTGGACCTGATTGGCTTCTATTGGCCTCTCATGCAAGCCGGCCGCGATGCAGATTGATGAGTTTGAGCAGTTAATTCGGGACGCTGCCGGCCTGAAGGTCGTCGTCCTGCTGGTTCCTCTCCGTTATCGCTGGCCTGAAATGAAAAACGTCACTTCAGGAAGGACGACGTTCCGCCAATTAATCACCAATTAGGAGCAGGATATTGAATTATTAACGTCAGGAAGCGATGCTTTTTTGGCAGCACGGTGAAGCTGCAGCGGCGTCGTCTGTCAGCAGATGCAAACATGTTAATACGCGGAGGGAGTCGGTTTTAGCTCGTGGAAAATAGGTTTAATGTCTGTGTTATGTGATTTTTAAGAGCCGGACGTAAATGTTTACGAGCTGATGGGAGGTTAAAACATGATAATCTCAGAGAGGGAGGTTATTAAAGGCTCCGATGCTCAGACACAAAGATAGCAGCTGCGACTCGGCGCGCTGAAAATGACCTTATCGGTCGTTTTCATTAATTAATGAGCGGCTCAGTCTCGGGGCTCCGTCAGTTTTTGCAGCAACGTCTCCGCATGTCGCGTTTTTCTCGATAAAAGCTGAGTTCATTCACTTCATCGTGACAGAAAACAGCAACTTCTTTCACTGAAACCAGAGAACGATTCGATATTTTGCTTGATGAACGGCTTAAACAATTAGCTCCTTAATTGTGTTTTGTGTTGACGGACTGATCGATCAGCCCTCAGAGGCGGTTTCTGCTCCCGTCACATCATGTTTCACTGAAACGTTAAGTCCTGCACCAGAAGGAGCTGGACGTCGAGGGAAACTGTCGCTGTTTCGTAGAGCTGCAACAGTTAATTAGTATTTCAGGGCAGAGCAAAAACTCTCCGTTTTCTGATTCCAGCTTCTTTAACATAAACTTTTTTCTGGTTTCTTTCCTCCTCTGTGACAGTAAACGCAACATATTTGAGTTGTGGACAAAACGACATTTCAGGATGTCGTCTTGGGCTTTGAGGAACACTCATCAACATTTTTCTGACATTTTCAAGCCCAAACTAATCAATTAACAAACTAATCAACAATGAAATAAGCGGCCAGTCTGTGACATTTTCTTTCTTCTTTCAAAACAATCAATCAAGACAATAATGAGCAGATAAGGAAAAAAACAAGAGTTACTGATGGAAATCGTTGTGGACGGATTTTCTAAAAGTGACGTTTGGCTGTTTGAGCAGCTGACAAACTGTTTATTTCTCGAACGGACTCGATGTGGTCAAAATTATGTGGACACCCTGGATTTTTCTCCTGATTGTGACTTTTATATGAAGTTGAACCAGCTGTTCTCACTATAACCACATCAGCCATGACTCACTGAGGCTGTTTATAAAGACGATGAGATTCTGACGTTTTGTTTGGAGGATTTGTGTAAATGTCAAACGGTTT